TCATTAATTCTCAAGTAGTGTATGATTCGAAAATGTACACAAGAGATAAAAAATACAACAAGTGGACGGATGTGCTCTATAATCTGTTGATATAATTTAACAATTCGAAGGCATATATTTAATATCAATTACTTTTTATGAACGTTAAAATCAATGAAAATTTAATTTAACAAGTAGACGAACAAGAGTAGATTCGTGCGATTCGTGGAGTAACATTTCTCAGTATTACGTTCCTAGATTAAGTTCTATACATAAGAAAAAATATATAAATCCTGCAACAAATAATGCCTCTACAAACAGAATAGTATTAAAATTTAATTAATTCCTTAGTAATGCAACAATGAACTGAATACTAACTGCAACTTTTGATTCTTTTTTGAATTCACAAAAGGCTTACTTCGAGCTATTCTTCCATTTAAATATGATAATCCTAATATTCTGAGGACGGATTCTGTCATCCTGAGACAAGTTTTTCCTAAGTCTTTTTTGTTCACGTCTTCCAACTTTGGAGCGCTTGTGGTTCTATTTTTCAAATTTAGTTTACTAACCATCTCGATTCTTTTACTATAAAAATTTGATTTGGAGCTTTTCATCCCATATTTTCTACAGTTTTTATTGAACTGTTGAGCTTAGAGCTTAGATTTACCATTTCAGATATATTATGCTGGGAAATTCCCTTTTTTAAATGCTCCCATGCCAAATCTCGCTTTCCAGTTAATGTACCCCGTCCCATGGTTAATAAAATGCATCCACTTTAATTTTTTTAGTATTTTCCCTCAAAAATATGATTACAAATGATCGCAAAATAAGAATATTTTAATAAGAACGATATTAACGGTACTCTTAATTGCATCATTTGAGCTGTGACATGAATTTTTCATTTGTTTTTGGTTTTTATTGCATTACTAAGTAAACTGATGTTGACAACTGTGCCCAGATGTATAAAAGTATTATACATCAATAAACAAGTACAGGATTAATAACTTAGTATTAAACATTAGTATTATATAATAAAACATTGTACTTTTCCTTACATATATTTACATATATATAAATATATATATATATATATATATATTTACACATACATTATCCTTTTGTCTACCATTATGTATTATAAGTGGTTTAGCATTTGAATATAATGTTTTAGTTTCCTGATGATGACTTTAGAATAAAGTCGAAATATCGAAGAAAAATAAAAATTATTAAAAAATCAAATTGTGAATTCTTAATTTTTGTTTTTATTTTTAACAACAACAATAAAAAAGTTTTGACCAATTAGCCTATAAAAAAAAAATAAACACTTATTAAAATTATTTGGTCACAAAATTAATAACATTACTAAGTAATGGAAAAAGATTTTTGGGTTTTTGTTTTTGGAAATGAATTAAAACACTATAAACAATAACTCTGTGTACTTTGTTTTTTTTAAATTTGCAAAATATTTTGAAAAAAATAAAATTTTTCAAAAAATTTTGGTCTGCATCAAATAAGCTGTGAGCCACTGTATATAGAAGTACAGCTACTTTGAATTAAACCAAAATTTCGCTTTAAAAATTGTATTTATCCCATATTTAAAAAGATGAAGAGACGAACATTTTTTAGCGATATTAGTTTATCTATATCTTAACTACTGCATATTAGTCTTTCAGGTTTTGAAATAATGAAACGAAATTTCGTAGACTAATCAAGTAGAAAAAACATCAAATTGTTTGACTTTAACATGAAGTCCAGTCCACATAAAATACTACCAAAATGATAGAGTTCTATATCGACATTTCTAAGTGTATCTGGTTTAAAAAAAAAGAATATTATAGGTGAATAAAAAATTTAGTAAGAAAATAGTACATATTTTTGTTAGAAACGAACTATTTATATAAAGGTTATTATTATTTCTTCTAATTATATATATTATTATACTATTTTGTATTATAAATAATTATTAATAAAACTTATGTAAATGCTAAGGTATAATATATAACTTTTAATTTAATTTATATTGTTATTTCAGCTTTGTGCAAATATATTTATAAATATACATTTTTGCAATTAATGAAAACAATTTTAAAAATATCATTTTATTGTTTATTTCATTGTTGTTTATCCCAATTGCAATTATTTATGTTTTTTTATGACTGCTATTTTATTTTAAAAATTTGTCATTCACTATATATATGTAGAATAATTAAATACTGTTAATATGCAAAATACGCGGATTTAAAATAAATACATACACAATTTAATTTGTATTAAAAATGTGCATGTATTCAAAAATTGCAAAAACGGCTGTAGATTATCTCTCCATATTGCTATTCAAAACAGCAGTTTGAGATACTCGATTAATATGAGACTTTCAACCACAAGCAATATTTGTACTTTTCTCAGATTTTAAGCTACAAAGAGATTTTCCATATTAAATAGTAACCTTTTATCAATAATATATGCATATGCATATGCATATGCATTTATGAACTCGCATGTATAATGAAATTAAAAAGCTTATATGTACACCTATCAGTTTATAATTGCATTAAAGAAGAAGGGAAAATATTGCATATCTGCAAAAAAAAAACACCTATTAAATTCGAGAAAATATGTTTAAATTACATGCTTGGGATTTTAATACAAGCAATAATAACATTTAATGGTTTATTGAAGAGCGAGAGTAAATCTTCAAGGAGGAACTGCAGAAAATAATTGTATGCACTTTCAAGGAGAAATCTCAATATTATCTTAAGGTATTGTAAGTAGATTTGGTGAAAGTCTTTTTCCAAAATATGAAAGGAATTGTGTGATATGTATTTACAATTTCACAAATTAAATGAAAAGAAGCTAGAAATAAGTTCCACAAAAATTTCTATCATTGCATTTTTTTTGGAAGATATTATGAAAAAAAGTACTTTCTCTTTTAATACTTTTACACTTCGCCGTTGAAATGTTTTGTTGTAAATCGTTCTGATCGGAACATAGATTCGACCGCTTCTGAAAGTGAAAGTGTAATTCTAAATACCACAAAAATACTTAAAGTTTACCGAGTTCAGGTAAAGTAAACAAAGTTAATCATTTTTGACAATGGTATTTTTTTCAAACTAATCACTGTTTCATACTACAAACATAAGATTCCTCACCGAAGGAACTTAAAACCAGATATAACTTATTGGATCTAATAACTTAAATTAATTAGATAAGTTATAATTCTTCTATAAAGAATCTAATGGATTTTTCTACAAAGAATGTAATGAATTCTTCTTTAAAGAATTTAATTGATTCTTCTATAAACAATATAATGGGTTCTTTTATAAAAAATCTAATGGATTTTTTTAAAGAATCTAATATATTCTTTTAAAGAATTAAATTTATGTTCATATAAAAATTTTTGTTTAAAATATCATATCTACTTATTTAATATCTGATCAAATGTAGACACGTTTAATAAAGGTTATATCTAATAATTAAAATTGTCTTTATTAGTGCAAAAGTTCCTTTGTTGTTCCTTTGGGACAACGAGACAGAAAGCTTGATTACAGAACGTATGATCACCTCATATAAACAGCGCAAAAACGGACAACATGGTTTAATGAAACGAATGTTCAATTGTAAATATGCAATCGTGCTCTGTCAGTGTTAGAGGTTTTTAGAGAAAGAAAAGACATGTCGAACTTATCCGTGAAAACTGTGAAATTAAAATCTGATTAATATTCTCCTATCAATTCTGCTATGCTGATTAAGAATATTTAATGATCTGTTCTAGATGATTTCCAACTTCTTTTTTGCATCTCTTACGCAGTCTATTAGTTGGAACTATCTTATGTTATTTTGACGCTTCTTCCTCACTGAGGTTTCTGCTATAATAGACCTATTATTACGGTCTATTTGATGCTTACAAATATTAATCTTGAAATATAAAGAAATTCAAAGAAATGTTTTATTGCACTGCATTTGCCTACAGATTTTTTGAAATAACTTTGCCCTCCAGAACGAATTATAAACTCAAAACAAGGGACGTTAAGAATCTTTACTGAACATAGATACCACACACAAACAATATATAATGTACTTGTCACCACGTTACTGCACCCTTTGAGAATTATTGTGACAAACCCACTTTAGCCATTATGTCCTTTAGAGATATGTTGCCTAATTCCGTTATAAGTGGATAAGCAGTAGAAAAGTACCGAAGTCTAAGTCTGGCAAGACTCATAATTAACATTCCCATTAAGCAAATCTTTATTATAACAGTTATTGAAAATACAGTTAATAGTAAATTATACTCTCTTTATAAACTTAAAAACTGATGGAATTTTCACAATTTAACGGCGTTTTCGATTGGTAAATTTGGATTCAATCTAGACTCGCTCTGGATCTGTCAAATTTTGTTGTCCGATCGAACATTTTTGGAGTAATCTAACATTTTTTTTGATCGAATTAGTAGACATTTACATTTTTCACAAAAACATTTGTTGAACCAAATCACTGTTTATATGTCAAATCATATAAAACAGCTGACAACTTCAGGGTAGTCTTACACGGTCGAAAATTTTCGTTTAAATTTAAAACTCAGAGGGTTTTTATATTTATCCAAACTTAAATGAGTTTATAATTTAAACCGTTCAGTTTAAAAAGAAGTACATAACACTGATTATGTACATCTTCTAAACCCTGAGGTTGATTTTCAAAACTAATAGGTTTATTTTTAAAACTTATTCGGTTTAAATTTTAAACCGAAAGTCTAAAATTCGACACACTCTTAAAGCTCTAAGGTTTAAAATTAAAACATATCGGTTTTTATTTTTAAACTCAAAAGTTTATACTAAAAACTTCAGAGTATAAACTTTAAACCCTTTACTCTTAATTTTAAACTGAAGGTTTATTCTTATATTAACCCTTTAAATGAAATAGGAGAAATAAAATATATTTTGTTTAAAAAAATATTTTATTTATCGTTTATTCAATTTATAAAATTATATTTCATTTATAAAAAATAATGGAAGTGGGTAAGACCAGATACCTTCAAGAAAGCAATCTTATATCCCTTTTGATGCGAAGACTGTTAGCACTATTTTTTCTACTTCTTGCCAAGCTTTTGTACGCTGAGTGGTGATTTGTGGAAACTGAATACAGAAATCAAGTAAAATCTGAAAGTGAGTTCATATAAGAATTTCATTTCATATTTTCAAATTTACTTTACTAACCAGTTCGGGATCGAAAAAGTAGAATGGAAATATATTTCTTATATTGACTTTTTGCTCTAATAACTTCTTTCTATGCTGTGTGGTGCTCCTTCTAACACACAGTTCTTCTGAATCTTCTATTTCATACTTCTTTCTTTTGAAGTTACGATTTTTAAGTTGACTCTGAAGGTAACCTGAATTATTATCAGGATAGAAAAAAATTTCCTAATGGGAAAAAATGAAGTGAATTGAAATAAAAGGAAGTTTTCAAAAAGCAAATTTGTTTTGCATTATTTTGTATACTTACTGCTCCACAATACTTTGAATTGTTTCGCAAAAATGGGATAAGCTCCGTTGTAATTTAATATATTTAAATATATTTTCTTTAACGAAAAACACTTTAAGATATCTCCCGCACGGCTCGATACTACATGCGCACTTACCAAACGATCACGAACAATTGATGCATTTTGCATTTGCGCATTTCTTCTGAGCAAAAAAGTGGAAAAACCAAGAACTAGTGTAAACACAACTATATAACTGTGGCGACAATATGGCGCCGCAATAAGAATTCGAGGAAAAAAACCTTTCAGTTTTAATTTAAACTTGAATAGGTTTATAATCACAACTTTTGGGTTGAAAACTGAAACTTTTCGGGTTTAAATATTTTATATACGTATATTTTTGCTGACTTTAAACTCTGGGGTCTGAAAACTCAACCTTGATGGTTTCAAAATAAAACTTGCGGTTTATGTTATCAACTCACGCAGTTTATTTTCTGCGATTTAAACTTTAAAGTTGAAGCATTCAACTTTTAGAGTTTATTTTCTTATATATTACCAATTATAAACTTCAGTAGGTTTAAAAAGCCAACCTCAGAGTTTGAAAATATTGATGTAAACTCTAAAAAAGTTTACAGGGTTGAGAATTTAAACTAAAATTTTCGACCGTGTACTTCACTGAAAACTATCTAGAGTGTTGTAAATTAATCTCAAGTGTTATAGAAATTGCCCTAAATTCATCAATCGAAAAAGAAAATTGCACTCAATCGAAGACCCCATAAGCAATAAATACCTTAATACTAATCAGAAAAATTTCAATTGATAATTTTATTTTTACGCTCTTTGTTTTTAAAATCTAAGTCACAAATTTTAAGATACATTATTCATCAAAAGCAGATAGTATAATTTAAATGTACGAGTATATATACACAGTCGTGTACATATATGAAAAATATACATAAAAGAAAAAAACGTATGAAAAGGAACTTAAAGCAACAGGTAAATATGTTGAATTCTAAGAATATGAATTCGAAATGAGAAAGTTTGAATGTTTGACTATAAAAAACTTAATTATAATTTTTAAATTCAAATAATCAAATCAAAACTGCGAAGTTAATGAAGTAACGGTTTATAATTCTCGGTTTTATTTAATAAATTTACACATACTTTTATTGCCTTAAGAGAAACAGACATATAAATGAAATAGTCGTATAAAAATAAATTCTTAAATGTTTCGCAAATAACAGTTTTTTGTTCCTTCTTTTGAGTAACTTCATATCAGGTGGGCATTTAGATATTTCGCTGTAAGATATATGTTAAGATACAGCAACAACTTCACATATATATTCATTTTTTTTTTTTTTTTGGGTTTAATTCTATTTTTTGGTATGAAGACGAAACCAGTAAAACAAGCATTTTTGTACCTACTAAGTCATTCGCCAAATTTTTACTTTTATAAATAAATGAGATTTTTATTGTTTTATGAAGTAAAACAAAAGTAAAAAGCTTGAAGAATTTTTATTGATGTTACGATTAAAGCAAAATTTATTAAAAAATGCAACCATTTCAGTATTAATAGACGGATATCGTATTAAGTATATAAAAATATAATTATTATGAAATAATACAATTTAATTGGGTATTATTGGATACGAATCTATATTTATCCATCATTAAAAATATAAGTTATTTCCTTATGTAGCTGCTTTTGCTAAACTCAGAACTATAAATATAGTAATTTTTTTATATATTTTTATAACACAAGCTCACAGCATAGTATATAGTTCAGTTAACAGATAGTGGTATCAAAAATGGTCAGACCTACTTTACTAACTTACTTGTGTATGATCATCTAATGCCACACATTCCAGAGTCTTAGTTTTATCATACATAGGAATAATGGAACGATAACAGCATTGGGTATGTAGATATTTTGTATTAGGTACTGGCACTTCAAGTGCACAAAGTCAACGGAAATACTAACCGTCTTCCCAAATGGAGTCGAACAACAATTAATTAAACGTGAACCGTTAAGTACTTTGGCGAGAGAACACATAGCGTATAAACTCAAATATCCTGAAGGCAAACTACTAGATGAACTGTAAAGGCCAAAGACAGGTAAAGAGTAACAGCAGCCTTATCCATCACAGGAACAGGTTCTTCATAATATGTTAATGGTGCAATACTAAATAGTCAAAGCTGTATAGCTGTTTATAATGATTTAGCAAAACAGACTATTAGAGTCGTGGTGTATACTATTCTATACTTCATTAATAATTATTAGTTATTTATTGATTATATATCATATATTACTATTTCATATTAGATCATAATCATAGTAAGATTACTAAGATTACCGCTGGGCAGTTGCATAAAATATGTTCTGATGTTTCCTTCTCCTCTTGACAGAGTCAACAGAAGTCACTTTCTACCGCATACTAAGATAAAAAACCCATTTAAATTTATTGATCCATAGTGTTACCATATAATCACTCGAAAAATATTAATATATATGTTAAATTGTTCTGCATGTAATAACATTTGAGTACGAAGAGTTTATCATGCGTAATAGATGTAAACATATTTAAAGTATTTTAGATCTGAATTTTCTATAGTCATCTAATAGTAAGTTAACCACAAATAGTACTATATATCATCAAACTTAATTGATATGCACATGACAATATCGAATTTTCGACTGCTTTATTAGTATGATTTTAATGAAAAGTACAGTAAAGTAAAGTAAAGTTATTGATAATTTACCAACTTAAGAAAATGAATAAATCAACTTATTATATTAATATATTCAATATATTTAGTATTCAAACTGGCGAGTTATTATAATAAATGCAGTACTTAACTTTGCTTTGTTTATTCTACAAAACATTTGATGTAGATATTTTGTTTTTTTAAATAATGTATAAAAGAAAACTTCGTTATATAGTAGTTTATAATCCGTTTTCATTATATATAAAAGTAATAAATATAAAATCTTACCAGGATATTTTTCTTTATTAACATTTTCTATCAAGTATAAGTCTTGATTAGTCATCATTAGTCTTGCTTGATATATGTTTGAATTTGAATATATTTTCATTATTGATATTGCTTAAAGCATTCCACTCCTTTTTATTAGAGTAGCTGTTCAAATAGGAATTTGGTAAAGCAATTAATAAAACTTATAAAAATAATATTATTAAATATATTATTCAATTGACTGTATTTTTTTTTCTTTTTGAAAAAATATTGTATTTATTAAAATAAAAAAATAAAAAAAAGATAACGTCAGCATAATATTTTGAAATATAATATTATGAAATAAATGGCATACATACATACTATATATGACAGTCACCCAGTTCAAGTATTTCAAATTAATGTACTTTAATGTCAAAGTATAAAACTCAAAAATTGTATTTTTGTTTATTATGTTTTAACATCACATATAAATTAAATAAAATATTTATTTAAATTAGTTAAATATTTAGCTGGTCATACAGCTGTTTTTATAAAGAGCAATAGCTAATAAAAAACAAAATTATAGTTTATATATGGACTATATATATCAGTACCTTATTAATACATATTATCATTTTACCAAAAACTAGTCAACAAAAGTATTCTATATAATATCATTGCAGATTAAGATAAAAAAATGCACTACTGGAAACCAACTTTAAAGATCTTTTTGTCTAATTAGCTCTACTTTTATAGCTTTAAATTTTAAAATATAATACAAAATACTTAAAGAGACTATATATTTAAGTTACAATGACGAAGTAAGAAAGTTACAGTGCCCAAACCCTGGAAAGGGAAAAATTGATATACATAGGTCACCTTATGTATTGCAGAAAATCTTTTAGATATTAAAACAAACTAATAAATATAAAGGACGAAACACGTCTGTAATGGCCAACTAAGTAAGTGAGTAATAAATAAATAAATATAAAGAGGAAATAATTTTTAATAAAAACTATAACGAAAAAGAACTATATTCGAATTAAATTTTTATTTGTAAATGAAATGAACTCCCTAATAGGAGCTAAAATAATTTTAAGCCAAGCACATAAATTTTTTTATTTATGCAATTTATTAATTCAAAAACAAAAAAACAAGAAATACAAAACAGTATAAAAAAAAATACAAATAAAATTTCGTATAAAAAAATAGGATCGAATCGTATCTGTCAACCAAAAATTTGTAAATTAAATAGTAAAATTATATTTATTTAATTAAAAGCATGACTACGTAAATATTAAAGCAAAATTATTGGAAAATTCTAAACTATCTGTAGATCCACAAGTTATGGCATTACTTGTAATCTGGTAATATATTAATTTATTACCAGATTATACGTTATCTGATAATAAAAAGTTAGCCTGATTTCTTGGGAGCCAAAAAATCTCTAACCTTCAAAGTACATAAAAAAAATTCAAAAACAGCTAGAAACTTAATATATAAGTTATATATGTTAATATATAATATATATGTGAAATATTGGAGTACAATTGTTTGTTAAGATAAAATGAGCGTGCAGATCACAGAGTTGATACAACATTTTGATTATAACTATCTGAAAAGGATACTATTTTCAATAAAATATGTGAATAAAACAGTTATTAAGAATAGCCGGTGAAATTAAACTAAGTGCAATACATACTTTAAAAAGTAAAATACTCATAAAAAGATGGATTGAAATCATTACGGCAGAAGCTAGAAATATCGAAAAACCTTATCTTAAAATTGCAACATCTTAGAACAGAATCTGAATAAGTTCAGGGTATTAACTAACACTGTCACAACAATATATACTGGTGACAAGTTTAAAAAGGAACATGATTTCATTTATATTTGCATTAAAATTAAATAGGCCCTATTTATCATTCGCCTCATCAGCAAGTAATAAACAAATAAAAATCACAACCATTAGGACATTTATATTAAATAGTGAGAATAACAGAGAAAAGTTCATCGTAAGATCTTTGCCCCTCTACGAGTTTGCGACAACTACCACATACGAATGAACCACGATCTGTACGAGCTTTATCACAGCATTGATATAATTCAGCGAATTCAGCAAATAAAGCGACTTCGCTGGCTTGGTCGTAACGTGAGAATAGATGAAGATGTTCCAGTGAAAAAGGTGTTTGAAGCAGTAGTTGGTGAAAGACGACGTAGAGGTAGACCATGCCTCCGGTGAAGTAACGGTAATGAGTTGTTATGTCCAAATAAGTAAGTAAATAAGTGAGAATAATATATCAAAA